ATATATATATAAAGTGTATTTTGGGTTAGTGGAAAGAGTATTTTATTGTCAGGAAACTGACCTGAGTTCTAGTTCTGACTTTGCTACTTGCTAGCTGAGTGACCTTGAATAAATCTGTTAACCTTCTCTGGACTTGATCTCTCATCTGAAAGAAAAGAAGGTTGAACAACTGAGCTTCGAGCTTCTGTCCAGCCCTAATATTCTGTGAGACGTGGAAAACAAGGCAAGTCTAGGGTTCAAATGTAGGCTCTCTTTCAGACAGGCAACTCAACAGAGTAGCCAAAATGCCCCTCTTCCATGTCTTAGCAAATATTAATAGTCAAGGGCCTTGTTGAATGTGGTTTTTAATAGAATCCAATTTCAATCCATTTCGAGTGGGACTTTTCATGCTGACTTGGTAATTTGAACGATGCCACGCCTGATGGACTGAATTCATTTTCCCTGCCTCCGCTGCCTGCCCTGGGCTGCTGTGGAGAGTGCTGGCATTGGGACCAGGGAGTGGGGCATCTTAAAGCAGCTGCAAATCAGCGATTTGACCTCATAACCAGTCTTGTCTTTCCTGGCCTGAGGCATGTGATGAGGGTACCAAGGGCACTGGAAGGGGAGTCGGCAGTGGCCATTCTATTTCCTGGCAATTGCCGTCTCCTTGCGGCTCAGAGGCTGCTAGCCTCCAGTGGAGATTGTCAGGAAGAAAGCAGTGTTCATCGCTGGATGTGACTGGAAGACAGTTGATTCCGAGAACCATCAGAATTATTCCAACTGATTGCTGTGGAGTCTCTTTGAAGCCTGGAGTGGCATGGGGTGGAGTAAGAAGCTTCTTCTTTCCACTCCCCACCTCCAAGTACTTGTCCTGTTTGATCAGAGAGTAACCTAAGGGTCTATTGGAAGTTTCCCTTCCTTCTACTGTGCAGAGAGGGGGAATGTGCAAGGTGAACATGCATGTATTGGCAGCTGCACCATAAACTAGGAAACCGAGGCCAGGGAGAGTGAGGAAAGGAAATAAATGTTTATTCTGTGCTTACTCTGTTCCAGCCACTGAGCTGGGAGACACTTATTTCTTAATCCTCCCAATGCCCTTTTAAGGGATAAAACATTCTCCCCCAGCCTGGCCAACATGGTGAAAGTCTGTGTCTACTAAAAATATAATTAGCTGGTTGGTGTGGTGGTGCATACCTGTAATTCCAGCTACTTGGGAGGTGAGGCGGGAGAACTGCTTGAACCCAGGAGGCAGAGGTTGTAGTGAGCCAAGATCACACCACTGCACTCCAGGCTGGGCAACAGAACAAGACTGTCTTGAAAAACAACAACAAAACATTCTCCCCATGTACAGGTGAGGAAAATGAGGATCAGAAAAGTTAAACAACTGCACCAGGGTCACACAGTTAGCAGATGCTAAAGCTGGTATTCAAAGAAAACTCCATCTATCCACTGTAAAATGTCACATGGTTTAAAACAGTGGGGTGGTGTGCTATGAAGCTTGTCTGCTGGGCCTTCACCTGGCTGGTTACCCTCATGGTGTTCAAAGAACTATAGAATCCTCAACATTATCCCCGTGGAATCTGAGTCAATGGGTATAAACTAGAGCCTGAGATTATATATTTTTAAAAAGCTCTTCCAAGTGATTTTGATGTCTTAGCACAGGGCTGGAACACGTGTCTTCTCTTCTGACCCAAGTCTTGTAGGACATCTTCATTTCTCGGAAGCACAGATCTAGTTCAGTCCTGCATTTACCTCAAGTAACATCTGCCACTGAACCCATTATTCATTCATTCATTCCAGGTTCAATGCTCAACGCTTTCTGAGTACCCGCAATGTGCCAGGCATGGTGCTCAACATTCTGGTTGCAAAGATGAATACGCCACAGTGCCTGCCTTGAGGAACACCCAGGGTGTGCGGGAGATAAGTGTAAACTAGAAATTCCAATGCGTTGTAGCAAAAGCTAGGCTGAGATAGGCTTGTGTTGCTTTAAGAACTCAGACTAAAGGACCAAGGAAGGCTTTCTAGCAGTGATCCTGAGTTAAGTCTGACAGGAGTTAGCAAGGCAAAGACAGGACTGAAGGGCTAAGGAAAAGCCAGTGAGGCAGAGGGAAGGAACAGTGTGGAAAGGCCCGGAGACCCAGCACAATGGTTCAGAGCAGCACAAGAAGCTCTGCAGCAGTGAAATGTAGGGTACTTTGGGAAGAGGGCCAGGAAGTGAGCCTGGAAAAATCAATGGAGACAAAATATGAAAGACCGGGTGTGTTGTTAAGGAGTTTGGATTTTATCCTAAAAGTGACGAGGCACCACTAAAGATTTTTAAGTTGTGGAGTGACATGGTCAGATTGTGTTTTAGAAGGGTCACTCTGATAGAAATAAGAGAATGAACTGTAGGCAGGAGAAGCTGGCAACAGAGGAACGAATTAATTGCAGAATTAAGAATTTTATGTATGTCAAAAAGCACCATAAACAAAATTTGAAAGCAAAGCACTTAGAAAGCATATTTGCAGCATTTCTTGACAAAAATAATATTCTTAATAAAACTACAAATCGATAATAAACATACCAATATCAAATAAATAGAAAATTCACAAAGGAAGAAGTACAAATGGTCAATAAGCATATGAAAATGTTATTCGCGAAGAATCAAAGAAAGTTAAAATAACATTGGCATACTATTATCCCAGCTATCAAATTGGTAAAGATTTGATAAGTGATGATTCTTGGTGTTAGGGGTGCAAGGAGCAGGATACTCTCTAGGCTCCAAATAGGAGAGCATTTTGGTACAAACTTTCTGAAGGGTGGTTGACAACATGTATCAAAATTCTTAAAAATAGCCAAGCAAGTCTCTTCTTGGAGTTTATTGGAAGGAAATAGTTATAGACATGTGCAAAATTTAGCTACAAGAATGTCAGTTGCAACACTATTTACAATAAGATTGGGAACAAATGAAATAATCACTATTTGGGGGTTGATTTAAAAAAGGGTCCATCTACATAATGAAGATGCTGTTGAGAAAGTTCAAAATGCAGAAAATATTCATGATCTTATTAAGTGAACAGAAGGAGCAAAAAAGAAGTGTTCAGTATGCTGCCATTTGTGTGTGATAAAGGAATATGTATATGTGTTTGACAACGTGTAAGCATCTCCAGAAAGATGAGAGGGAAATTAGATGCTGGCAGACAGGGTGGGAAGAATATTTGCTTCCGACTACAGAGCAGTTTGTACTTTTTGAAGTTTGTATCTGTGTCTATATCACACATTCTAAAATATAAATACACATTTTAAAAGTTATTAAAGGGTATATTCGGTGTGATCAAGTTTTTGTTTAAAAAACCCCCACAACTGTGTGTGTGCATGTGTACATTTACGCCAAAAAGAACTGAAAGGTATATTCAAAAGAATACACATTTGTCTTGGGTGGTTAAGCTTATGGGTTGGATGTTGTCCTTTTTTTCCCCCTAAAACTTCTACAATACACACGTGATGCTTTCACAATAATTAAAAAGCGTTAGTTTCCCCCGAAAAGAGTCCATTGCAAAAGTCCAGGCAGGAGATGACAGTGCAGATCAGATGCATGATTAGTACTTGAGCTATATATAGGTCAGCAGTGACATCCACAAAGTGTGTAATTAAATCTCAGTTCTTGTTCTGGGGAGAGATGAGAAGGAAGCCGAAGATTTGGTAGAGGATGAACCTGGTTTTGTGCTCCAAAGCCTTTGTTGGACAAATGCACAGAAAATTCAGCCCTACCACCCCAAACATCAACCAATATCCCAGGCAGCTTTTTTCTTTGGGATTATTTAATTTCAGGTCACAGTGAATGGAGTTCCAATAAGCCTCTATATCTAAGTCACCAAACAAGCAGATGGCCTGGATGCTTGTTCTATGAGGTTCTGAGAGGCTGTCCTCATTTCTTTCTGGTTTTCAATCTTTCTACTTTGGATGGCTGCAATCACATCCCCAGTGGTCCAGCTCTGCCCCAGCACACTCATGTAAACAAGACCTCTCTCCTGCCTCCGCATGGGGAATAATTACTCAGAGTCCTTCCTGACACATACTGACCAAAGGAAGACCCTGGCAGTTTGAATTGGTTCTTCAGGTGACCCCTGCCCTCCTCTTCATCCTTGTATTGGCCAACTCACAAACGTACTAAGTTGGAGGCTTGGGAATGAAGGTAGGAGTCGGGAGGTTTGAACACAAGCCCGTGTGGGGCCATAGGGTAGTTTTGGGTTAGGGTCATGTAAAGTCAGCTTGGAGGAAGAGAAAAGAGAGCAGAAAGAATGTGGCAGCTGAAACAGCTTCTTCCTTTTTCTCTTCTTCAGAGAGTGAATTCTAGGTGAGTAATGGCAGGCCCCTCAATATTTCTAGGACCTTCCTGTAGCCCCTGTTGAAAGCTTTTGGGAAACTATGTGAATGTAACTTATGCTGCTATCTTCTGGGCCCCTGGACTGTGACTGGATCCTTTTGTGGTGAGGCCTCTGCTTAAATAAATAACCCATATTTAACTTTGTGTTTCCTTTTGGTCTGAATTGTGACCCTTTCCCAATGCTGGGGATGGGTGGTGAATGCTAGGTGAGCTGTTGCAACACATGCTGGCTCCATCAGCAAGTAGAATGAGCAATACACAGACATAACTGTTGGACCTCAGCTGCCTTTTTCTGACCTGTCACTGCTCTGACCACTAGGGATTCTGGCCTCTGGTCTTTTTGGGGCCTTGAGTAAATACATAAGGAGGCCATGTACCATCACTGACATCACGAACACTTTTCAGGTTAATACATATTGTCCTGTTCTCAAATGGTTATAATTACCCAATATTACACTTAATAGAGAGGCAACTAAGTATAGCATAGTTACTAGCCAGAGCCCTGGAGTCAGACAGGCCTGGTTCACATACTGGCTATGCCACTAAAGGCCATGCAACCTTGGGATAATTAATTTATCTGGTTTTCAATATTCTTACCCATCAAACAGGAACAGTATCTCAGAGTAACTGCATGAAAGAACTGAGATTATACATGTAAAGATCTGAAGATAGTGCATTTAATAAATCCTAACTATTCACATTATTGCATCTGTATGTATTTTAATTTTGTACAACATTGTCTTTTTCACTAGTCACACAAAAAATACATGAAAGTGCTCTGATAATTTTAAAGCATCATATAAATTAAAGGTGTCATTGGTAATAATCTCATATGCATTTCTCAACCCTTCCATCTCCTTGAAGACTGAGACTGACACCCCATGTCCCACAGCATATTGCACAATGATGGGCAAACAGTACGCCCCAGTAAATGTTTCTTGCTTGACTGAAGCAACATGGCGTAGCATAACGAGCACAGACATCGGGAGACTAGGCTGGGATGAAATTAGTTTAAGGCAGGAGAGCCAGTCTGCAGTCATAATTTATTCATTCAACAAATATTTGTTGAACACATTCTATGTGCTAGATATTGAGTTCAGATAATTTCATCAAAAGAAGATTGTACAAGTTCTGACAAAGCCACACCCTCGGGCAGTCTCCACAATCCCAGCCCACTCTTAAAAGCACAAAGGCTGCAGCCACTATTGTCTGCCAGTGGACAAATGGCCAATTGCTTTGGGGGAAGTCCCATCCTGCCTGGCTCTAAGTAGCTCTGATTGAGCGCTGGAGCAGGGGGTAAAAGTGAAGGAGTGGGCTGCTTCCAACAGAAATGGCAGGAACTACTACCTGTCCATTTATTTTTATTTACACTGAATTGGTCCACAGTTCAATCTCCTAGCCTATACGATGCTCTTTCCCCTGGCTGTCGTCTTTCCCTCCCTGTCACCTATGTAATCACCCTGCCCCAAACCTTGGCCTACTTCACTCTGCCCTTCTGTGGTCACGGCTGCCTGTTGGGTGGGAGTCTGGGGGAATGGTATGTGTGGTCACCAGAGGGCACCGAGAGTGGGCTTCAGTGGCATGTGAATTCTGGCAGAGTCTCGGATCCCCGAGGGGGAGAGGAGAAAGCACAACAAGAGGGTGAAGGGGGCGGGGGCTGAGGTGGCTGGTGGTGGGTGGGGCGGTGGGAACTCCAGTGTACACATTCGCAGTCTCCGTGTCGGCTTCTGCAGTGCTTCTGCTGTTTGTCTCGTCCCTGGATTTCTAACCATTGCCTTGAGACGCTCTGGCTCTTGTCTTTCAGGAAGGCGTAGAAGGATCCAGCCCCTGGGCTGTGTGCCTGCTGCCTGTGGGAAGATACACCTGGCAGGTTCCACCTCGGTCAGAAGCACTGGCCAAAGTCAAAGCCACAACAGCATTCCAGCCGGTGAGACTCCTCTCCAGCTGTCCCAGCAGAAGTCGGGCCCCTCTCAGTCGCTGACCTGCTAGAGGAGAGGATGTCTCCATTGTCCGGGCTACCTACCAGATTCCAAATTTGCATCTCTCCTTCTTTTCACATTGGGAGGAGACAAAGAGTTGAGGTGCAACAGGAGGAGAAAAGGGGGAGCCAGAAGAAGTGGGGAAAAACAGACAGAACCCAGGACAGGGCTCTCTGCCAGGGCGTGCCCAGAAGTCGCTGGTCAGGCGTGGGCGCAGCTCTGGAGCTGCTTCCTGGTTACATGGCTTCTTTCTCTCTCTGGGAGCATCGGCTGAGCTTCATCTCCGTCAGCTGGATATACCGAATCACGTTGGTGTCTGTGAGGAGAGAAACAAACCATAGGGAACACCAGGCGAGCACAATTATCACATGTATGCAGAATCAGCAAAGGCTGTGTCTGCAGACCACGAACAGGCCAGGCTCACTCAGCCAAGCTCCCTTCTGCTATCCATGGTGGCTGAGAGGGCAACCGGATGTCAGCCCTGTCCTTCACTGCCTCCCTTTAGCAAATGTGGACAGGTTGGCATGACCAAGCGGATAGGAGAGAGAATGGGTGGGAGAGGAGAGAGAATTTCTCTCCCTTTTCTATGCAGCAGCATAGCCCAGTGATTTCCCAGCCGGTGGAGTTAGTTTAGTGAGACTCCAGTTGGAGGTTAACATTAGGCAAGTTGCCAACTTCTCTGAGCCTCCTGTCCCATCTGCAAGAAACAACCTCCTTTTCTTTTTTTGAGATGCAGTCTTGTTCTGTCACCCAGACTGGAGTGTAGTGGTGTAATCTTGGTTCACTGCAACCTCCACCTCCCGAGTTCAAGCAATTCTCCTGCCTCAACCTCCTGAGTAGCTGGGATTACAAGTACACGCCACTGCGCCTGGCTAATTCTTGTATTTTTAGTAGAGATGGAGTTTCATCATATTGGCCAGGCTGGTTTTGAACTCCTGACCTCAGGTGATCTGCCCACCTCAGCCTCCCAAAGTGCTGGGATTACAGGTGTGAGCCACTGCGCCTGGACAACAACCTCCATTTCTGAATGCCAACTTTGTGCCAGGTTTCTAACCTTCGTGATCTCATTTAATCCTCACTACAATCCCGCAAGGTATATATCCTCCTCCTCACTGTGACAAAATGGAATAGAGACCTGGGGAGGTTAAGTAAGATGCCCAGGGAGACACATAGTAAATGGTGTGTCTGGCTGCAAAGCCTGCCTCTCCTGAGGACTGTAATACCTGCCTCATGAAATTGCTCTGAAGACCAAAATAGCTAAGTCTGTAAGTGCTTAAAACAATGATCAATAAATATTAGTCTAATGTAACTTTTTTTAAAACTTGAAGAGTTTAAAATGACTTTGCTTCATTGTCTTATTTTTGTCCCTCTAAGCAGGGTCAGACTACCACCTCATGAAAAGTGGGGCATTTCTTCCCAGTTCCTGTTATTAAATTAGTGAGGAGGGCATGGCATGGAACAGCTGCTAAGTTCCATATACACCAGAACATAAGAGTGATACCTGGAACAGTTACTTCTGGAAGTAGAAATGAATACTGTATCATGCTAAAAAAGCCAGGCGTATCCTCCAGAACAGTGCTGGCAGATAGCAGTGCTCCAGAAAATTCTATTGAATGAGTCCAATTCTTAGTCTTCAAACTGCTTACAGTATAATTGGTGGAACACACTTTATATACAGAAAATAAATTAACAACAAGGTGTTCTTTAAAAAGATAAAAAAGTATACATTTGGACATTTGTAAATTGATCCTAAAGTTCTTTAAAAACTTTTGAAAGGAGGATTGCATTAAAAAAAAAAAAAAAGCCTGGGTATGGCAGCTCATGCCTATAGTCTCAGTACTTTAGGAGGCTGAGGTGAGAGGATTGCTTGAGCCCAGGAGTTCAAGACTAGCCCTGGCAACATGGCAAGACTTCATCTATACACAAAATAAAACACATTAGCCAGCCATGGCAGTGCATGCCTATGGTCCCAGCTACTGGGGAGGCTGAGGTGGGAAGATCATTTTAGCCAGAGTGGTGGAGGTTGTAGTGAGCTGAGATCGCACCACTGCACTCCAGCCTGGTCGACAGAGAGAGACTTGTCTCAAAAAAAGAAAAATTAACCATATACACAACAATAATGAAGATCAAGTCAAAGTTGTTGTTTAAATCTACTTCCTCAGAGAGGCTCTTTCTGACCACTTGGTTTAAAATAGCTCTCCCTTTGCTCTTTTTTTTTTTTTTTTTTTTGAGAGAGAGGGTCTTGATCTGTCACCCAGGCTGGAGTTCAGTGGTGTGATCTTGGCTCACTGTAGCCTCTACCTTCCAGGCTCAGCTGATCCTTCTGCCTCAGCCTCTGGAGTAGCTGGGCTTACAGATGCCTGCTACCACATCCAGCTAATTTTTGTATTTTTAGTAGAGATGGGTTTCACCATGTTGGCCAGACTGGTCTTAAACTTCTGAGCTCAAGTGGTCTGCCTGCCTTGGCCTCCCAGAGTGCTGGAATTACAGGCATAAGCCCCTGCGCCCGGCCCCTGTTTACTCTTAATCTCTTTATTCTGCTTTATTGTCTTCACAGCATTTATTACTACTACCTATTTCATTTGTTTACTGTCTGTTTGCTCGTTTACCAGGTGACTTCTAGCCATCCCTTGGTGGAGAGCCCCTCTCCCTGGGTTCTGTCCCCTCTCCACACTTTTTTCCCCACTTAACAATAGACAGTGAACCATTATAATAGAAGCTCTTTGAAGGCAATGACTTCCTTTTGTTCACTACTATGTACCTAGCAACATTGTACCACCTCAATAAATATCTGATGAATGAATGAATGAATGACTGAGCGGGCGAGTATGATGTAAGTGAATGGTATAGGTAACACATGCTCTAAGGAATATGATTTGACTAGAGAAGTCAGAGCTTTCTGAAAAATGCTGGGCTTAGCATCAAAATTGCCTGTTTGTATTCTGTGTCATCAGCCAGTCGTGAGCTCATCATGGGAAGGACCATGTCTTTTCATCTATTCCCTTGGTGCTCAGCACAAATCTTGGCACATAGTATGAATTCAATATGTATTTATTGTATAAGTGAAGAGAGCTGGATTTTGAGTTGAAAAAGATGAGGAATTCTATACTCCTATATGAAGAAATGAGGTACCTGTGCTCCTGGACCTCAAACCCTAGGCAAATGCATGGGATGTGTGCTCCTCTGACTTAGGTCTTATCATATATCTGATCCCTAATTTTGCCATCTCTGTCCCTGCCTGGCTCTCCCAGCCAAGAAAACTGTCTGCTGCAATGAGAAGGCCCCAGGAGCCACCGGAGTGCAGACCAAGTAAGAAAACAGCGATTTCTGGCACCGGGTGCGGTGGCTCAAGCCTGTAATCCCAGCACTTTGGGAGGCCGAGGCGGGTGGATCACGAGGTCGAGAGATCGAGACCATCCTGGTCAACATAGTGAAACCCCGTCTCTACTAAAAATACAAAAAAAATTAGCTGGGCATGGTGGCGTGTGCCTGTAATCCCAGCTACTCAGGAGGCTGAGGCAGGAGAATTGCCTGAGCCCAGGAGGAGGAGGTTGCGGTGAGCCGAGATCGCGCCATTGCACTCTAACCTGGGTAACAAGAGCGAAACTCCATCTCAAAAAAAAAAAAAAAAGAAAAAGAAAACAGCGATTTCTGCCTTACCTGTTGGTTGTTGGGTCCTTGCTTCTTTCAGGTAGTAGAGTGCTTTGTCATAGTCCCCAAGGTGGTAGAAGGCCACACCAGACCGATAAAGGGCCTTGAAGTTCTCCCCTTCCTTCTTCAAGACTTTGAGGCAATATTCCTTGACGCGTTCGTAGTTCACCAGCTCAGCCTGGAGTAGGCAGGCTATGGTGGAAGGGAGGGAAAATGCCATCAATACAGCAGCGGCCAGCTCTGCACATCTCCCTTGAGTTATTTCTCTCCACAGGTTTAGCAGGGTTGGGGTTTTCCACTGGGGTTTATGTCATGGAATTTGTCTTCTAATAATCCTGAGCTCCCCAACCAGTTTCATCAATAACAAGCCATGTTAACAAGCCTTAAGCAAGTCACTTAACCTTGTGTTATGGGTTGAATTATGCCCGATCTTCCACCATGCAAAGATATGTTAGTCCTAACCTCCAGTACCCAAGAATGCGGACCTTATTTGGAGACACGGTCTTTACAAAGGCCACGTCTTATCATAATCATGAGGTCATTAAAGTAGGGCCTAATCCAGTGTGACTAGTGTCCTTATAAAAAGGGGAAACATGGACACAAAGACAGACACACACACAGGAAAGACGACGTGATAAAACATGGGGAGGAGACAGCCACTCACAAGCCAAGGAGTGCCTGAGGCTACCAGAACCTCACAGAGAAGCATGGAACAGATTCTTCCTCATATCCCTCAGAATAACAACCCACTAACACCTAGATTTTGGACTCCTAGCCCATGGAACAGTGAGACCATACATTTCTGTTATCTCCAGCCACCCAGTTGGTGGAACTTTGTTATGGGCACGTCGATTACAATGAGTTCCAAATTTCTCTTCAAAGAATCAGTATGCCAATATGGCTTGTACCCCTGCTCTCTTTAAAATAGCCAATCAGAATTAGCTTAGCCTGCGTAGTCCAACCTTAGCCAATAGGGGAACAACATAGTAATAGGAGCAACCTGCATCAGGGATAAGAACTCCTTCCCCTTCCCTTTTCAGGTATGCTCTCGCCATTGCTCCATCTGCGAGATGCACCCTTCTGTAGAAGTAAAAATTGCCTTGCTGAGAAAATTTATGTTCAAGTGCTATTTCCTTTGTGGCATCGAAAATTTGCTTCTAACAGACAGCCTTAGGAATAAGCTACCAGAGGTAATCATCATCATCTTCATCATTATTGTCATCATCATCATCATCATCATGATCATGGCCAATATTTGCTGAGTGCTTACCTTGTACAGGTGCTGGTCTCATTGTTTTATATGTATTATCAATATATCCTCAGAACACTCTGATGTGGATACTATTATTGTTTCAATTTTGTAAGTGAGGAAGCTGAGGCGCAGAGAGCTCAAGAAATTTCTCAAGGCCACACAACATGAAAGAGGCAGAGATGAGATTTAAACTGAAGCTGTCTGGCTCTAGAATCCAAGTCCTTCTTTATCTAGTTGTTGGAGGGATTACATAAAATAATGGCTATAAAGTACTTAACATGGGCTTGGCACATAGAAAGCATGAAAAAAAAATGTTAGTTGACATTCTTAGAATGTTAACTAGCCAGTACCAGTAACATCTGCCTCTGACTTCCCTCAAGTTCTCTTTCATATTTATTTGTCACTGCAGTTCCTGAGAGAAGAGGCTTTCTGGTAGGCTAGTGACCAGCTCATACAGGGCACATGTCTGGACATGAGAAATCTAGGTGCCCAGGCCAGAGGAAACGATGGGAAGCAGGTCCCATGGTGGAGATCCTTCCCCATCCCACAGTCATCTTTGAGTAAACCCTCTCCCTCTGAAGCTTTCTCTCACCAGCTCTGAGCCACAGGGAGCCACAGGGCTAGGACTAGGGTGACGGCATTCCTGGAGCATGACTGAATGACCTTGAAGAATGACTGAAATTTCGTGCCCTAGGCACCTCACTCTAATCCCAGCTCTGCTGAGTCATTTCCCCTCCATTTAACCACTCACATATCTGTAGGCACAGACCAAGGGCAAAGTATGTTGTATACTTTGGAGGGATTACAAAAAAAGAGAGAGAGGAAAAAGGCACCTGTCTTCTTCAAAGCAAATAAAAACAGAGACTTAGAAGGCAAAACTACTGCTTCTGTCCACAACCTGGCTAGGCGGCTGGGGGAGAATGCTGATGTTCTGTTCCTTCTTTGTGCCCAGACTTTTCCCATACTGAAGGAAGACACCTCAGGATAGAGACAAGTCACTGATTTCAATCTTGAGGGGTCTAACTTCAGTCCTTCTGACCTCTTAAGTAACTTCCCAGGTATCAGAATTGCTGAGATGTTTAGGAGACCAGACTTTTCTTGGAGCATTTGGGACCAAAAAACTCCATTCTTTCACAGAATGAGGAGAACTACACAGACTCTCAAGTTGATGGTAGGAGGACCAGGAAGTGAAAGAGAATCAGTCCAGATCTAGAAACTAATCGGTCAGGTTTCCCTGGCTGCAGGGCAAAAAACCAAGTCAACAGGAGCAACAGGCTGCTAACCACCCAGCGGGCAGCTTTTGTTCACCCAGGACTACAATCTTCTGGTGCGCCAGGGGGTCCTTCTGATAAGCTGACGCTACCAGCCCCACTCCCCTCTCCTCCCTCCACGGTGGGGTCTTAGGCCCTTCTGTACTCTTCCTCACCCCCAAGTTGTTGGAGCCTGCGCTGGTGCTTATACAGCTGTACAGAGAGAGGGGTTTCTGTAAAAAGGTTCCTGGATATGAACCTCATTGACACATACATGTGTGCAACTTGGCTCCCAGGTACTCCCAGAGCTAAAAGACGTCCTGTTCACAGCTTCCACAAGCCCTGCCTGATGTCCTCTCTGACTGGGCCCAGCAGCCCTCTTCCCATCTAACCCTCCCTCTTCACAGACACTTCTGTTTGCTGACCCTGGCAGTCTAGGAAATGGACCTTTGTCTCTTTTAAAAATGTTTAAAATTTTTTTTGAATGCATAAAATGGTGGTTATTGGCGGGGGGAGGCAGCAAAGAGGCCTGGAAATGGGAAAGCCTCCCACCTCCCACAAAGGGTCAAAGGAACCATGGCAATCCATTTCTGGCACTTATTTGGTGAAAATATTTCTAGTTCCCCCTGCAGATCTGGTCGGAACTGGGATACCTGGCTGTGGAGCAGGGTTCAGACCTGGGGGAAGGCAGAGCTAGGCTTGTTATAGGGTATGGAGCCTTAGCTGACACGAGAAGCAGGGCCCAGGAAGATGGAGAAATGGGCTGTCATCCGGAGAAATGCTGGGCTGAGGTGGAATCTGGACAAGAAGTTGGCGTGCCAGGCCAGGACTTTGTTTTCGAGATGGAGTTTCTCTCTATCTCCCAGGCTGGAGGGCAGTGGCAGTTCACTGCAACCTTGGCCTCCTGAGTTCAAGCAGTTATCCTGTCTCAGACTCCTGAGTAGCTGGGACTACAGGTGTTTATCACCATACCTAGCTAATTTTTGTAGTTTTAGTAGAGACAGGGTTTCCCCATGTTGGTCAGGCTGGTCTCAACCTCCTGAGCTCAGGTGATCTGCCCGCCTCAGCCTCCCAAAGTGCTGGGATTACAGGTGTGAGCCATCATGCCTGGCCCAGGCCAGAACTCTTAAGGGAATCCAGGGGTGGAGGGGGTGAGAGCCAGGCTGGAGGCTGGCCCCAGTGCTACCTGCAAGTGATTTTAGGCACCTCTCTGCTTTGGGTGGGTGGCTACTGGTACATCTAACAAGCCCATGGGATAGGTAAGATGTGATGATGGCAGGCACCTGTGAAGGCTGAGGACATGAAGAAGAGGTGGACTGGCTGCTTCCTGATTGTTCCATCCCTGCCCCTGTGGCCATTAGCCAGGACCTGGGGTTGCAGTGAGTGGACCTCAGGATAAGTGGCATCGTCCCATAGTGTGTCCTCCTCATGGTTATTAATCCCTTCTCTGGTGTCAGAGGTGCTAAATACTTCACATACACTATGTCTTTTAATCCTCCCATCGACTCCATGAAACGGGTTCTATTTTTATGCTTCTTTTATAGATGATGAAGCCGAGTTCCAGAGAAATGAAGTAACTTGCTGAAGGTCACTCAGCTGGAAGGTGGTAGAATTAGGATATCAGCCCACTTCTGTCAGGCTTCCAAGACTGTGCACTTGACCTCTGGGGTGTCTATGGGCCTGCATTTGAAGCTGTCAGAAACCCGCACAGCCCCTGGGGAGAAAGACAGATCATCTGTGGAAACTCCCTTCTGCTGTGTTCCAAAGCTAACAAGCAAAAATTGATGCCTAACTGCTGGGCACTGGGCGGGGCTGTGGGATCAGGTGATGAGCTGACAGCCCCTCACACCATCCTCCTAGGGCTAACAGACGGGCGGGGAGGACAGAGGTCACGTTATCTCAAATATTCACATGTGGGCTAAGTGCTATGAAGGACAAAGGCAGAGGAGGAGCATACCCAGGCAGGAGGGGCCTTACCTTCATTAAAGGATTGTGGGAACCCTTCTTGGAAGAAGTGGTATTTCAGCTGAGATCTAAAGATTCTTTCTCAGCCTTAGCACTATTTGACATTTTGGACTGGATGATTTTCTGTGACATGAGGATGTCTTCAGTCTTTCAGGATGCTTAGCAGCTTCCCTAGCCCCTTCTCACTACATACCAGTTGTGACAACCAAAACAATGTCTCTGGACATTGCCAAGTATCCCCTGCATGGTGGGGTGGGAGTAAAATCACCCATGTTTGGGAATTACTGATCTGGGTGAAATGGAGATGTTTTCTAGGCAGATCCCAGAGAAAGAGAGCCAGCAAGAGGGAAACGGCCTATTTGAGAAACTTTGGGAAGCCATGCATGCCATGTGGGAGCAGAGAGCCAGAGGGAAGGGGGAAAGAGGGAAAAGCTGGAAAAGAAAGAAACCAGGATACAGAGACCCTTCTGGTCCATGTAGAGGATCTGGGACTTCATTGTGAGGCAAGAGTGGATTTGGACGATGAAATGATGGTGACTTGGGGGACCAGAGTGGAAGCGGACAAGCACGAGAAACAGATCAATTTAAGTGGCATCCACGAGGTAGAAGTGACCAGCAGTAGGGAATCTCTGCAGTATTTTCCCTCTGCTGTCCACATTTGCGAGTTAGAGCCCTTATCCGGGAGATCTTTATTGCCATTTTGGATTTTCTGATTGTCAAGAAGT